GGAGTTGGTGATGGACAGGGAGGCCTGGCGTGCTGCGGTTCATGGGGTCGCAAAGTGTCGGACACGACTGAGCAACTGAACTGAACTGAACTGATGTTCTCTTGGGAGAGGGTCACAGGAGAACCACAATGCTATGGGAATGTGTTGAGGGAGATCTATTCCTGCTTGGTAGTTGGGGTAAGGACAGCCTTTCTTTGTGACATCTAAGTCAAATGGTACAAATGAATGTGTGGGTGCAAATACCCAAGTGCATATGTGTGGGTGTTTACTGGGGAGGAGGGGCAGGAGTCAGAATGAGAGAAATACGTGGACAGGACAGGACTTTTCAGAAACCAAAAGAAATTTAATGGCTTAATTTGAAAGACATAAGTGACGGATTTAGACTCAAGTCTACACTGAAACATTGGTGAGGTTATAGGAACTAGATCACATCAGGTCTTATAAGACTTTCAAAAAAGCTTGACTTTATCCTTAGACCAATTAATAGGATAATGGGTCAGAACTGCATTTTTTAAAATTACTTTTTACTGGATTAGCAGGAATGTCAGTTAGGAGACTGTTAGTAATAATCCAGATGAAATATTTTGACTTAAGAATTAGTTAGAAAGCATGAAAGAAATGAACAGATTTGAGAGTTCTCACAGGTATAGAATTAAATAATCATTAGAGCTTGTTTGTGGGGCTGAAGAAAGGTTGGAATCAAGGCAGATGCTCAGGTTTTTGCCTTGGGCTACTGGTGGGCAGAAGAGCCAACTCCCTGAGGAAGCCAGGATAGTGAACTGAGAACCTATATCCCTAGAATTGCGTTGTTTTTATAGAATTGCTCTGAAGATTAAGTGTCATAGTTTATGTACAATAGCAGCTACCTCAATGCCTAGTGCATCATAGCTGTTTTCTGTAGTCATTTCAACTTCCCTCTTCTCTTTTCCAAAGTTGTACCAGTAATTTAGTAACAAAACTGGGACTAGAATCCCAGACTTCTGTTTACCAGTTCAGAGTTCTTTGTTAATGGACTGCTGATCTATAAACAAAGATGAAACACAGGAATTTTAAAGCAAATATTCACAACTTATCTTGGAATTGCTTACAAGCTGAGAGCTATCCAACTTATTTTTAGTTTATATTTAAAATGAATCATATGTTCCAAAATGACTGACAGAAACACAGCTTTGTTTCTGAAGCCAATTCTTTTCCATCATTTTGGACATCATTCAGAGCTATAACAGACTTTCAGGGTGTTTAAAAGCATTCATCCGTGACAACAACAAATGCTAATTATCATAAAAAATAAACAGCTCCTGTTAACATCGTTCTAAGAATTTTTCCTACTCCAGCACTATATTTCATCTATCATCCCATCTGTTTTGGGGGTGGGAACAAAGACTGGATGAAAGTATAATTATCATGTATCAAACTGGACAACACAACAAAATAGAAATGAATATAAATGGGAGGAAGAGCACACATAATAAATCTGGAAAGGGAAAAAAGAAACATAAATAAAATGCATACTTCATGCTGCAATGAACAGCAAATATATAAGTCCATAATGAAGTTAATAATGTTTGTCTCATTGGGTATAAGGTGGATGTTCTCCCATTTCAGTTCACAGTCCTAGCTGTCATCAGATTTTCTGCTACATGATCCAATAGTCATCTTGCTCACTTGGGAAGTTTACAAATTTTCTCTGTTGGGTTTCTCTGTTGAGTTAAAATTCCACCTTGAGACTTTTAAACATACCCAAACAAACAAACAAAAAAGCCTACTTCATATATTTATGAACACTTTTCAAAGAGAATCTTCTATGTATCTTTGAGTCAGTTTTAGCCTCTAAAAAACAAAAAATCATGAATAGCAAAGTTCTCAAAAGTCTGTTAAATTAAAGCAAAGAGCACACATAACACAGAGGTTACAGAGGCAATTATTTCACTACAAATAATACTAAAAACATGAGTAATTTCATGTCCTCAATTAGAAACTAGAAACTCAAGAAGGGCCAGGAGTTTGTTTCTTTTACTGGCAGATACTCACACGTGGCACTGTCCCTGGCACGTAGCAGATGCTTCATCAAAATCTGTCGTATTAAATATTGCATAAAATGAAGCATTAACATGCTTTTTCTCCCCTCAGGGGATTTTTAAGGATACCTATGGGAAACTCCAACACTTTGGCCACCTCATGCGAAGAGCTGACTCACTGGAAAAGACCCTGATGCTGGGAGGGATTGGGGGCAGGAGGAGAAGGGGACGACAGATGAGATGGCTGGATGACATCACCAACTCAATGGACATGAGTTTGAGTAAACTCTGGGAGTTGGTGATGGACAGGGAGGCCTGGCGTGCTGCGATTCATGGGATCTCAAAGAGTTGGACATGACTGAGCTACTGAACTGAACTGATTCTATGAATAATCCTGTAATGACTCTCAGCATTCATATTGAAATAATCAAAGATTTTCGGAATATCTAAGTATTAATGTCAACTTCAAGTGTTAGCTGTGGTAAAGTTTCTTTTAAATAGTAACTTAAACTTTTTTAATAAGTTTAATCTCAGGTCAAGTTTCCATTAAAAGTCTATATATCTAATTAACTAACTAACTAACTAACTATATATATCTATCTATATATATATATATCTGTTTAAATTTGTCTCAATGAAGTAAATATTTAGAATAATACTCAAGCAAAAGATCAATTATATATGAAACACTGCTTTGCCAAACTATGATGTGAACTTGATTACAAATCTTATTATCCCTTTATTCAATCACTCAAGAACCACATACATGAAATAAAAATGTCAAACCCATATGCATACAAACAGAATAGTAAGGAAAGGTGTTATATCATAAACATTTCTGACAGTTGCCAACTTTCTTTCTACTAGGAGGGACTTTAAGATAATAAATAGGTGTAAAATATCACATCTAACATACATATATGTGTATTATATATGTGTGTATGTACCATGTGTATGTGCAGGTACATATGAGGATATATAACATTAAGTCAGAATAAAATGCCCTTCCTGCATTATAACAGGAAGGAAAGGAGAAGTAAATAAACAATAGATTCACAATGAATTTATATTCATATTTTGTATATTTCTATATATGACCATTCATAAACATACGTGGAGCTTTCCAGGTAGCACTAGTGGTAAAGGCCTGCCTAGTTTTGCTGGTGAATCCCACGGATGGAGAAGCTTGGCAAGCTACGGTCGACAGGGTTGCACCGAGTTGGACACGACTGAAATGACTCAGCACACATGCAAACATAAGTGGACCAATTTGCCAGTGAGCTAGCCCTGGAACATCATGTTATACATGCTCAGAGAAACCATTCACACAGAACCTGCCATTCATAAGTTGACATATATAACTTTATCAATGACCGAAAATAATGATTTGGAATAGAACAATGCAATAAATTTAGTAACTCTATTTTAAGCTAAAAAACAAATCAAAGGTACTTAGGTTATTTTAGGAATTTAAATGTTCTTTCTAAAGTTAAGTTTTAAATAAAAATTTTACTTTTTAAAATAACAAATGCAAAATGACACCTGGGTGTGTGTGTGTGCATGTGCTAACTTGGGTCTGCCTCTTTGTGGCCCAGTGGACTGTAGCTGCCAGGATCCTCTGTCTATGGAATTTTCCAGGCAAGAATATTAGAATGAGTTTCCATTTCCTACTCCAGGGAATCTTCCTGACCCAGGGATCACACGCGCCTCTTGTCTCTTGTGTCTCCTGCACTGGTCGGCAGATTCTTTACCACTGTGCCACCTGGGAAAACCTCGCAAAATCACACTATTAATGTATATTTAGACTTACTCTTTCTTATCCCATTTTTCAAAAGACTTCAAATTATTTACATTGTTTCTCCAACCCTGTAACTCCCTGTTTCTCTGTTCTCTTGGGAGAGCTCCTATCTGTCAGTTTGCAGATGGTCAACTTTATTGGCAAATGGATTCATTTCTGCACATAGTTCTAAATACTGCATTCATAGAGTGTGCTTCAGGTGTATTTGTAGAGAATTTAAATTCAAATGAATTTCATTTTTGATGTAAACATAAAGGCATAGTGAAATGTCCTCGAATAAAATATTTTTAAACTCTAATTTAAAGAGCACTATTTAGACCAGTGATAAACATCTTAATGTGAAATTTCTTTTCACTAGGTAATAATCAAAATAGTATGCAGTTTCTTCACCAATATAACTTCCAAGGAAATTATTACTTTTTTTTACTTTTTACTTTCTCTGTATTTCTGAGACTTATTTGATATTTGATATTTCAAGATAACCATTCATATATAAAATAACATGCATTACAATAAAAAAGCAGAGACAACCTCTAGCCAGCAAAGGTTTTAAAGTCATTTAAAGACACAAAAATAAATACCATGTAGTAAGCCCTTATGTATGCATATAAACAGTTCCCAAAACTCTAAGAATTTCAATGGATATTTTAACATGCTATACAGATAGAAAGGTTATTATTTTTCATACACATTCTTTGCACACAAATAATTACAGAAAATGTTAAGGCAAAATTCTGAATTTCTTTATTTCTCTAGATTTCTTGATAAGTTTCAGTGACAGCTCATTATAAGGCTTTACTTTGGGAAAATACACTGAAACTGGTAGGAAAAAAAAAAAGCTTGAATAGATGTTTCAATATGATATTTCATACTATCTCTATCCTTCATCCAACACTATAGTTCACAGTAACTGATCATTCCCAGAACAAAAGTGCTTATTTTACACATACACAGGAAAAAAAAATGTATGATTCAGTTGTTCTTTATTTGGATATATGAAATTAGTGTTTGATTACAAATCTTTTTCTATCCCTTAATTTTAAAACAACAACAACAAAAAAATAATAACACAGCAAGAATCTCAAATGAGTTTCAGAAAATTATCTATATTTAAAGCATAGGGCCAAAGGCTACTGATTTTTTCTTACCAGTGCTGTCATCATAGACAACTGTGACAGTTTTCCACTTGAAGAACTGCACCAAGTCCAAAATGGCACGGCTGAGTGAAGAGAAGTCTGGGTAGAGACTGACATAGAAGGAATCTTTGTTGTCTGACACCTGGTGCTTCCAGCGGGTCTGGATGTGGGGAACCCCCAGAGCATTGCAGATAGACTGAACTGCATTTGCTGAAGAGCTGTGTGAAGGCCCGAAGATGGCAGCCACCCCAAGGGACAGCTGATCACAGGCTGCAGAGGAGACAGAAGTCGGTCAGTAATGAGAGGAGATGCCAGCGTGCCAACAGTGCCACATTATCGTTGTCCCAAAGGCATCATCCTGGAGGACGATGTGTTTGCCCTCAATATGACATCTACAACTAGCTGATTTTACACGTTGCCTAACTCCAAATAGTCTCAGTTTGTTAGAAGGGAAATTCACCTAGACACCTGCAGCCTAATGTTCAAATATAGTAACTTTGCAAATAATGTCAAGGGAGGAGAGGAGGAAGGAGAAAGAGGGAGAATATTTTAGAATTTAAGGGGTGAATATTCATTTTGCAAAAATACTTCATATCCAGGGGACACTTCAGGGAAATACTTCAAATCAGGGGAATAATGTTCCTTCCCAAATTCACTGGTCATCCTCTACAATTTCAAATTCTGAATCAGAAGCCATCTATTTTTCATGGCCCATCTAAAAAGCTATGGTTGGGCACATAGTTTAGTATCTGCAATATCTGATGATACAGGTCAAGCTGTGCATACAAATGCCCATACAAAACCTGACATGAGTCACAGACGGTGATTTCATAGGGATTAATCTCATTGAGTAGGAAGATAATCAAAGTATTTAATTAAATACAGAAATATTTAATCATCTTTATTTATTTGGCTTTTGGAAACTGTAAGACTTTTATGATGCACTAAATTAGTTTTAAGTTTATGTCTATAAAATTTTATTCACATAAATAATAATTACAGTAATTAAGAGACACATAAACAAATTAGAAGGTATTCAGACAGGAATAGCAAAACTGTGACAGAACGTTAAATTGTGTAAGGTATACTAAAGCAAGTGGTAAGTTTGGGTCAAGAAAGTCAATAATTACTGGAAACATGAAACTCATCTTTAAATACATGAAGAATATGATCTGTGAAACAGGCTAAAATTTGTTTCTTTTGCCTGGAAAAGGAAGAATTAGGGCAAATGTATAGAAGTTTCTCATGAATTCTGACACAACTTAAGAGAAGAAATGTTCAAATGTGGAAGTCTGTTCCAAGAGGCAACAGTCTGTCTATCCCTGAAAATATATAAGGATGACTAAAATATTTAATAGATAACTATTCTAACTGGGATTTAGGGATCAATTAGATTTTCAGTCTTAATCCTTTCAAAATAGTTTATCATTCTACTGTGCAAAATTTACTGATTTTTCCTTCAGAGATTTTGCCATATAAAATGCAATTTGATGGATGGATTCTTAAGCACAGAGATATTTAATAAATAAATTTTAGTTAGAAAAAAACACATTGCTTTAATCTTTTCTCAAAAATGCAATTCGATATAAATATATAGTTTTTGAACACATATAGATTCTTACTTTTAAAGTAATAATTGGAATTCTGAATCAGTAGAAAGCTTGGAGCCTCAAGGTTTTCACTCACATAAATTTTAATTCACATACATTGAAAATAAAAGATCTTCCTTCTCTAGATTTTTGACAAGTCACAAATCAAGAAAAGTTAAAAACATTATATTAGCTTATACAGAGCTTCTGAAGTGTGTTTCAAAGAAAAAATAGAGTTTTGGGGTATCAGAGAAATCATTTAAAAGCAATATATGATTCAAATAATAATTCAAATTCTAATGCATCAGAGTTTATTGAGCAAAACAGTATTATCTATTAAAAATATAAGGTCATATATCAGTGAAAATTTAAACATTGACCTTACATTCTTGCCTTGGAAAAATCAATTTTAAAAAGTTTAACAATCAATGTCCAAATGAATTGGTATTTTATAATGAATCATATCAGTATCACATATATTATAGAGGCCTCATAAGATTCAAAACTATATTAGGTCTCTCCTTTATATTAGTGGGCTTCCCTGGTAGCTCAGCTGGTAAAGAATCCACCTGCAATGCAGGAGACCCCGGTTCGATTCCTGGGTTGGGCAGATCTGCTGAAGAAGGGATTGGCTACCCACTCCAGTATTCTTGGGCTTCCCTGGTGGCTGAAATGGTAAAGAATCTGCCTGCAAAATGTTGGGAAGATCCCCTGGAGAAGGGAACGGGCTACCCACTTCAGTATTTTGGCCTGGAGAACTCCAGACACGACTGAGCGACTTTGACTTCATATTATCTCTTTATATATTTCTCTGCCACCCAAGCAGTCATTGGTCAACAAGCAAGTGCTTCACAAGACAAGATCCGAACCATGACATCCACCACTACAATATCTCACAAAGAATGTTATTCATACACTTACTTGAGCATTTTTCAGCTTCAGGCAAAAGTCACTTCAGGAATTAGATTCCCAATGGATTTTTAATGAGTAAAAAATTTGTAAGTCCTTTTTAATATTCTAAAAACCAAATGAGTTTACCACCTCATAATTTTGCTAAGATAGTCCCAAGGTAGTAAGATGTTTGTTATCAGAACATTCTAGTCTACATTTTTATTTTAAGTTGCTACTTTGAAGGCACCATTAGGAAATCTATTTATATTTTATTTATACTGTACTCATATTCCATATTCTTTGGTCTAAATTATTTCATTTAAGACAGAGCTTCTTCTTCCTAATGGAAATAATCATGAACGATGTCACTAATCAAATGCTCTTGTCTTGCAGCTAATGACTTATTTTGCAATTATGATGACACATGTCATATTTCACAATAACCTTTACCCCCCTTTTCAGCCTTCAAAACCTTTCATCACCCTGACATGGTTCTGAAATGTGAAAGCTTATTTTTATTCATAAAGATATGAATTCAAAGGGCAGGCAGAACATAGGCTTTGATAAACACTAGTTAGCTGGGGGAAAAGAAAGATACTTTCATCTTAAGAAATATTATATCTTATCAACTGCCATTAATATTAATGAATTTAGAAGAACTCTGTACTGATTTAGAATTATAAGTAATTATGTACATTTCTATAGATGTCAGGTAGCTAATAAAACAATATTAGCATTACAGTATAGCAAGCACTGTCTTAAAAATAAGAATTTAGAACAAATGCTTTCTAAGTCCACTCCTTTGAGAAAATCTACCTTATGGAATTTAATTTCATGAATGCTAACTATGAAAAAGAAAAGATCACCTACTTAGACAAAGTAAGCCAATGAAAACATCTCTCAAAATATATTTATTGCTAAAACTGTTGTTTGGTTAAAATAATGCCTTGACAGTAGTTTCTCTATTACTTTCTTTCATATATGTATTAAACATATCTCAGAAAATTATATGTCTACTCTTATATTGAAAATACAGCTTTATAAAATAATAAATAAAATTCATAAGATATTTTTATTATTTCTTCATGTAATCCAACTTTTATATCATTAGCCATTTATTCTTAGTTACAAAAAGAAATATCAAGTAGCTAAAAAATAGGCAACATAAATGAAAGATTAATCAAATTTTCCAATTAAGTTTTAAAACTGGGCTGCTTTTTTTAAGTCACTTGGAACCATAGAACTTTCAAGATACTCAGTAAATTAAGACCACAGTAGTAAAGTAGAATTGACAGATAATGCAAATAAAAATGTAAAATTGGATTGTAAAACTTGGTAAAATTCACTGATGGGATTGTTTTATTTTAGTAGGTTCTTAAAATAGGAATAGTTTAGTAGTAAAACAAAAGGATTGATAGGGGGAAAGAAAACAACTTCACTATCCCAGACCTAACTACAATTCATGTTATAAGCAAATTTTTTCAGCAGGTAACCATATCACTTTACCTTTCCTGAAAAAAGAATGTATGTGCAGCTCAAAAAGAGATATTTGCATGAAAATATCTCTAGTGACTTATTAATTACTTTGTGGATTAAGAAATCTCTTAAGAATAGCTAAAAATTTGAATTTCAGAAAACACACTATTAAATGTCTATCAATTACCTTTCTTGGATGCTTCAAAACTGTCATAGAGGTTTATCTTCTGGGTGTCATAGGTTAGGGTGGTATTGGGCAGCAAGGTTCTATTTCTGTTGATTGTGTTCACAGCAAATCTGAATGCAAGTTCCTCAGCTCCCATTGGGCCGGATTCCACATATTCAAAAATACCACCTGGCAAAGAAAGGAAAAATCACACAGTTCTTACAAGACAGAGAAAATCTTGGAAGGTATCTGTACTTTTATGTATGTATTTGGGTACTTAATTCGTGTGAGTGTGTGTGAGTGAGTATATGTGATTTGTCTAAGAATGTGGAGTATGAATACTTCAATATTCAAGTAAAAATTTGAATTTATGCCCTTTAACATAAATTCACACTGGCAAAATTTCTTTGATATTGATATCAAAATTTTATATGATTTGAATATGATTTTGCCTTTTTATTTAGTAGTTGCTTCTTTTAGGGCCTACATATATGTAGATCCTGCATCAAGTACTGAATTCTCAAAGATTTGTACATAGTTCCAAAATAATCAGTCCTCTCTGTTGATAAAAAGCTATAAGGTTAGCATTGGGAAAACTGTATTAAATTTGTCTCTGTTAATTCAGACATCTGAATTTCTTATCATAATTTTTAATAGTTTTAAGTTTAATAATAACTTACCATGTTAAAAACCCAAAATACTTATTCACTTGCAAATTGCAGCATTTTACTTGCAAGAGAAAGAACAAAGTAGAATTTTCTATGTGTTTTTCTCTACATCCTTTTTCAGAAAACACTTGACATTTTTGAAAGATAGCTCTCCCGAATCATGAAAATCCCTTAGGCAGTGAATAACACTGTAGCAAATAATTTTGGTCATAAAATGTGGAATATAATTTAACAACATGTTCTTTCCATTTGGCACCTTCCATCAGCTGTGTCTCAGACCAGTCCCCTCAATTGTGCCCCAGCCTTGATATCATCTCTCTCTCTTCAGTTGTGAGTGACCTAACTGAGACCTTTGTCTCCAAGAGAATCTCTTCCTTGTTGATTTGGTGAATGAAATGAAAGGGGGAGCACCTGATAGCTGACATCCTCCAACCTCTGTCTTTAGGAAACCAAAACACTTAACATAATGAACACTTATTTTTCTCCCTTTCAAACTTCACACCATGTGCTCTCAGCACAGCCATTCACAAATTAAACTCCCTTGAATACGACCTTTGCACTGCTTGCAATTCATACCGCATCAAAAGTCTTGACGCATGAATGTCAGGAGACTATACTATCAGCATACTACCTATTCTAAATTAGTAAGAAGTCGTGGTATGGTAATAATTCCTCCAAATATGAGGAATTAGGACTCAGAAGATACCACAGTGATTGGACAAATTTATATTCAGGAAGAATTGGAAATATTTCATTTTACATCATATTAGTTGGAAATATTTCTCTTATTTTTTCAACTAGTTTGATGGTATGGTTATAGAACAGCCAACTTATTGTGAAATTATATTCTGAATATGTTTAAATCCTGGTGAGTTATGCTAAGCAGAAGGATAATAAGTATTTATCAATATCCAAAGACTTAATGGGTGTCAACAACAAAATTAGATGTCATGTATGTGGAGGAGAACAGTGGTATGAGCATGGACTCCAGAGTTAAACTGTGTTTACTTTCTGGCTCTGCCACTTGTCATCCCAGGCAAATTGGGCAGTTGCTTAAATCTTCAGTCTGAGTTTCTTCATCTCTAAAAAAAGAGATGATGATGGAACTAGTGCGTAGAACTGTTAATAGACAGCAAATTTTCTCATAACAAAGCACTTAGAATCAATGATTACCATAGAGCAAACACTACATAAGTGTTTAAGATTTCACTGAATCTTCAAAGCAAACCCAAGTAGTATAATTTTACAGAAAACTATCTTGTGACCAAAGATCATGCAGCTATCAAATGACAGAGGCAACATTAGAATCTGTTCATGCCTGACTAGAAAGCCCTTGCCTATTGCACTACAAATTAGTAATTTTCTTCAAAATTTCATTCAGGCAAAATACACAAAAATTCTTAATTCCTAAAATGTGAGATAAGATGACTTTAATAAAAAATATGCAGTTAGAAATGTAAGATCATATATATGGAACAGAAAAATAATTGAGTAATTGGAAAGTACTTCTTAAACTTAATTAGGAACACAGAATTGATTCCAGAAATGCAAACCTGAAGTCATTTCTTAATAGCAAAATAAAATGAAACTTTGAATCTTCTACTTCTCTCTGTTCACGTTTTAATTTGAATGTGGTATAAAAGAAAAATGGGGAAAATCCCCTGGAGGAGAGCATGGCAACCCAATCCAGTATTCTTGCCTGGAGAATCCCATGACAGAGAGGAGCCTGGCAGGTTATGGTCCATAGGATCACACAAAGCCAGATATGACTTAAGCAACTTAGCATGCATAAATAGGAAAAAAAGGATACAGAAATGGTCAACACATGATGATAGCAGGCTACAACTTTCCTATCCTTCACCTCTCTTCAAAGTAACAACCTACTTTGAAAATTATGTGTCAGAGTCTTCTAATACTGAGACGACACCAACTCTGTGGCCCAAAATTTTGCTCCAGGTTTTATGTCCAAGAAAAACTGCATATCTATGTTCATCAAAATAAGAAGAAATATTGCATGACATTCCTTATATGTAGAATCTAAAAAGAAATGATACAAATGAACTTACAAGACAGGAAACAGACACACAGACTTTAAGAACAAGCTTATGGTTGCCAGAGGGAAGGATGGTGGGAAGGGATA